TATGACACTATCGTGTAGAGTCCATGCCCTCTCTTAGGTATCTCTGGGCGCGAAAACTCGCTTAAAGAGCTCACGAGCTGAGCTCCATTGTATGAAAGGTGGTGACGCAGTACACTGGTCTTGGGACGGTCAGATCAGAACAAGGAGAAACGCTAGCGGTACAAACCTGCTTGGGAGAAAACCCATATATGAAGAAATAACAGCCATCCAGGAAACCATTGGTGCTAGCGGGTCTCACTTCAAAAGTGTCCTGACGAGATCCCTGGGCCTCTGCAAACGTGGTCTCGCTAGCGAAGGATTTAGCTTCTTGTATAACGGATGCTTTTCTCGTAATTTTCGAGGATGGGACGTCTTCATTCTTCGGCTGGCTGTTCGTTGGCCTTCTCAGCTCGTTGTTCTCGAATCCCGCACCCACGATAGCACCCCAAATCCCTTCGTTCTGGTCAACGAGCTTTGTGCTTGCGATCCTGCGCAGCTTCCTAGGCCGAGGATTAGATGAATTCTCGGCTTCTGCAGCTTTCTCCTTGGCTGGTGGTACTGTGCGATTCCATGCGCCCACACCCTGTTGTTCTTGTGGTAGAAGAGGGTGGTATAAAGTTTCCTCAAGAACCATGCCACGCTCGATGCTGTCAGTGAACCACTTCATGGCTACGACTTTAATGTTCCACTGTGTTGCAAATTTGTACTTTTGGCCCTCTGTATTGCGCGCGATGAGATGGGTTACACTCTTCGTAAGGTCTTTCCTAAAGTCAGCGCCATGCGCGACAGCAGTATCCTGAATGTAATTTCGATAAGCCACTAACAATGACCGTTAGCCTCATCAGCAGATAGGAGCACCGGAACGAGTTTCATACTATCCTCAAAGCCTGTTATGCAGATAGCCAATCCCATGAAGGTTGGTAGTCTATACTGCTGCTCTAACGCCCGAATATCGGTGTCTTCACCCTGCATCCATGACTGCCGTACTGCCTCAACCCATTCCGGTCTGAGAACAACGACATCACTCCGCTCCCGTGCGACGAACTTATACTTCGCGGTATTGATCTCGCCGACAAGCAAATGTGTGACATCGGACGTGAGGTCGAACTTGTGAGCTGCTCCCATCTGACTGGCAATTGTGGCGAGCTCAGTCTATAGGGTCCCGACAGTCAGTGATTGTGCCGGTATTGCCAATTGGACAAAATGAACACGGAATTGGGCATACCCGTTGTTCTGGCAGAATAGAGGTAAAGCAGAGGACCACCCCCGCAAGAGGGCGTTCCTTGTCTTAAGCGATATTAGCAGCGCCACCGTCGCGGACACTGATCTGAGCGTGTACTTACTGGAAGTTGAGTTCTGTGCCATGCTTCATGATTGGCAAAGCAGGATTGCAAGGCCTGTTGGGCTTTGGAGTTGGACCGAGACTTGCAAACTCCGCAATATTGATTCGCGCGCGTCGGGAAATGCGTGATCACGTGACATATGGCCCTGATGTTGCGCGACTTTCGGAGTACCAAAGGTTGGATATATAGGCTATTGCTTAAGGCTGATTAAATCAAAATGGCTTCAATGGATTGACCAGTTGATTTTGAGTTGCTTTTCGGGTTTTGAACAATCGTGTGGAGGGTCTCGGAAACTAATACTACTTGCGTCATTGGTCGAGTACGAGTATACATCTCATTGTCCTATGTATGTATAAGGGCAGACTCAAGTAGGAGTCCAATCTTCAATGACACTGTCGCATCAATAGTTAAAATACTCAGCAGCACCAGACTACCCCATGACAGTAGTGGAGAATTGGTCTTTTGGGAGGAGATTGCAGAGGTGGGAAACTGATGCTTGACAATCATGTCCTTATCAATGCGGATAAGCAAAAGAATAAAGTTTCCTTATCGGTATCACGTGCGATAATGCAGCGCGTTCTATCCGCATTGCGGATTGAAACGCGCGACTTGGGTCGCGAAATGTTCCAGATAACCATCCTTATCATCAACTTTTGCAGTCTTTCTTTCATTCGACGGATCTGCATCACATACAGGACGAGGTTTATATGCATGTGTCCAAAATTACAAAAAGGGACCTCTTTCTACTCCGCCAATACTGCATATATGGTCCGAAACTGATCTCGCGTACTGCTCGTTACTCAACAGCTGGACCTTTGGGAGCGTCCCAGGAAGCGGCTATGTTCAAGAAGGCCGTCAAAGACCACTCCGCAGGTCCTGTGAAGCCCCTTCAGTCCAATCTATTTCGCAGCAATGGCGTCGTGCAGCCGAAGCCGACCCCACCTCCACAATCAATAGGCGTTAAACGAAAAATCGAGATGAGCAGTGCTGGAGAATCTGCATTAGGGACCCTACACAGTGCTGTTTACTTCGATGAGAATGATTTCGATGATGATGTAGACTTGGACTTTGAAGAACCCGAACCCTTCATTCCACCGACGAAAATTGTGAGACCGAGCATTGGGGCCAATCTACTGCGACGTCGACGTCGAATGTCAATTCAACGGGAAATAACGTTTCAAAAAGCGCGGAAAGAGTCACAGTTGATTTGATATCCTCCGATATAAAATATCCTGAATTACCTCCAGTCTCCAACGATCACGTCCCCCGTCGAGTAGCGTTCAGATTCCATGGTCGTCCTCGCCCCCTCACCACCTCCAGCAACCAAATAGTAGTCGAACATTACCATGGCTCACCAAGAACGAGGAATCGACAAAGGCGGAGGAATATAAGAAGCCAGAAACCCCTGCTCGGCCCAAGCCCACTGCTATCTGGAACAAGTCCGCCAGTGCGATCAAGGAAGAGCAAAAAGAGCTACGGCGACAGCATAAGAGAAACCAAAAAGGCGATACCAACTCCAAGCAACTTCAAACTCGTCCAAAGATTGCGTCCTTATTTCTCAGTGATGAGCAGCGTCATGTCCTCGACACGGTCGTTAACCAAGGCAAAAGCATATTCTTTACCGGTTCTGCCGGTACGGGTAAGTCCGTGCTTATGAGAGAAATCATTAAACAGTTACGGAGCAAATATCGAAAGGAGCCCGATCGTGTGGCAGTCACAGCTTCTACCGGTCTTGCTGCCTGTAACATTGAGGGTGTCACTCTGCACAGTTTTGCTGGTATTGGGCTGGGTAAAGAGCCTGTTCCAGAGTTGGTCAAGAAAGTTAGACAGTTCTCTGCCTCTGCTTTGCTCATGTTCGTTAACGGTCAAATTGCAGATTAAGAGAAATCAGAAAGCACGGAATCGCTGGCTTCGGACCAAGGTGCTCATCATCGATGAAGTGTCTATGGTCGATGGTGACTTGTTCGACAAGCTTGAAGAAATCGCCCGAAGAATCAGAAATAATGGCCGCCCATTCGGAGGCATTCAACTTGTCGTTACTGGCGATTTCTTTCAGTTGCCTCCAGTGCCTGAAGGTAGTAACCGAGAGGCGAAGTTTGCCTTTGCAGCGGCTACTTGGAATACATCGATCCAGCATACTATTCTCCTCACACACGTTTTTCGTCAAAAGGACCCTGAATTCGCCGAAATGCTCAACGAAATGAGACTGGGTAAACTCACCCCTCGGACAATCGAAACGTTCAAATCACTGTCCCGTCCGCTGAACTTTCATGATGCACTTGAAGCGACGGAATTGTAAGTTATCCCAGTTATTCCCAGCCGGCAATGAGACTAACATATCATTTCAGATTTCCTACTCGTCAAGAAGTGGAACAGGCCAACAGCGCACGGATGAGCAGGCTCTCTGGCGAGATAATGACCTTTCACGCAGTTGACTCAGGGACAATTCAGGATGTCCAATTTCGTGAAAAATTGCTGGCCAATTGCATGGCACCAGCTGTAATACACCTAAAGAAAGGTGCACAGGTAATGCTGATCAAAAATATGGAAGATTCGCTTGTCAACGGCTCCATTGGGCGAGTTGTCGCCTTCATGGATGAAGCGACATTCGAATACTATCGCGACAATGAGAGCGAGTTCGCCGGTGGGCAAGATGCTGGGAGTGACGATGAGAGACTAAACCACGCTCGCAAGAAGCTGAAGGGTCTTGGTAACAAGGATGGAGGCGTTGTGGTAAGTCGAAAATGGCCTCTTGTTTGTTTCGTCCAGCCAGATGGTACGGAGCGGCACTTGCTCTGCCAACCAGAGGCTTGGAAGATTGAGCTTCCGAATGGCGAAGTGCAAGCCCAGCGCCAACAGGTACCGTTGATCCTCGCATGGGCTCTGTCCATCCACAAAGCGCAAGGGCAGACTTTGCAGCGTGTCAAGGTCGATCTTGGGCGGGTATTTGAAAAAGGACAGGCTTATGTCGCTTTGAGTCGTGCAACCTCGAAAGCTGGTCTTCAAGTCACCAGATTCGACGCACGCAAGGTCATGGTTCATCCCAAGGTCACAGAATTCTACTCGAACCTTGTTAGTATTAGTGATGTTCTTGCTCCGAAGAGCTCAAAGCCTCGCGAGCATCAAGAAGCTGAGGAAGATGGTCAATTGGACGACGAAGAGCTCTTGCAGCATCTATACGGTTGAGGGTGGTATCAATGTCAACGTGGAATTTCTGTGATGCCAGCGGCATGGTCTAGGCCTTGCGTCATCCATTTCTTCTGTATGTTATTATTATTATGGGCTATTTATCTTTGAGGAAAGGTGCAAATATCGATATCCGGGTGCTGTTCAATGGAATTAATCATTAGATACTGCATGTACGGTGTTGTCGGCCAAATGAATGGCCAGGTGAAACAATCTCCGGAGACAATGGTATGTCTGCCGAGCACTTATCAAAGTCAATGTGGGTCAATCAAAAAGACATCAGTAGACTTGATTTGGATTGCCAAAACCGGGATATTTCTATGGATTGATTGAAGAGACACAAGGGTCCAAGACAAGCTTTCACCGTCCAACATAAATATACTGGCTGCATAGCTCTGTAGCCCCACATCTTGCTTCCCGATAAGATACTCTGCACGTGATGCTATCCCAAGGCGATTGCAACCTGACAATTTACTTTTGCGACGCTGTACAACGCTTTCCTTCCACTACTTCCCCTCACCTTCTCTCGCAGCCTCCGTGCTGTTCAAACATCAGAACAGCGATATATGACTGATTAACATCTGCTCTGCGGCATGGCGTCGGAGTTTATTGGCTACAATGTCTTCGTGACGCTTAGAGCACCGCCGAATGCAAGCGTTCAAGGAGTGGTGGCCAACGTCATTGGTCAACGTCTGATGCTAAGGAACGGTATGTGTTGTTCTGTCTTGATCAGACTGAGTGGTATCGATCTAACTGTGGTTCTCAGTGACTCTTTCCTGGACTGGCCAACAATTGCCTACCTATTCCATCGATGCTCCCGATATTGCAGATCTCTCTCTGGGGCCTTCTAAGACGCAGACCACCTATATCAACCTAGAAAAGCAACCTCCACGCGAGTCATCCGTAACTCCAACACAACAATCGTTCGTTGATCCGGCGATTGTCAGCTATGGAAAGCCGCCTTCTAAACCTTTCAGTCCGCCTGTTTTGCAGAGTCAATCCATCCCGAATGTGCCGAGCGCTCAGCAGTCCCAGGCATCCCAACAAGCTCATTATGGAGACGCGACGGTTTCAGCTGCCCTAACAGAGCCATTCAGCAATCTGGAGCTGAATGTTGACAGCAATGTTAAGGCTCCTAAGGTCGCGCCGCAGACGGAAGTGCCGCACGATGCGCTGGATGACAATGAAGGCTTGGCGCCACTGCAAGCCGCGTCACAATTTACGACTAAGCGAAGCCGCCGGAGTGGTCGGACAGGGCATCCTCAAAATGTCGCCGGCAATGAGCACGATGGGGCAAATAATACAAATCCGAAAACCAAGGGCTGGCGCCAGACTGCATTTGTCCAGCCGGCCGACACATCTGAATTTAAAACTCCACAAAAATACAAGGAAAGTTTTCCCGATTCTACTGGACGGCGTCGCAAGAAGAGGGGTCGTGGGTACGCTGAAGATCCCAATGGCTGGGCGACTGAGGACGCAACAGATATCCAGGAGATGGGCGACTTCGATTTCGAAAGCAACCTATCCAAGTTCGATAAAAGAAGAGTTTTTGAGGAAATTAGAAACGACGACACTACCGCGGATGAGGATAGATTGGTCAGCTTCAATAGGAGACCAAAGCCTGGAACAAATGGTGGGAAGAATCTCCACTGGACAGAAAATGTACTCGACAGCCCTCAGGAGAGTGAGCACGGCGATTCCGAACAGGGCCGGAGCGATGCGAAGCTCAGCGGTGGTAATTATTCAGGCCGCGAACTATCCAGAGTATCGGCACGTGCACGAGACTCTCGGAAGGGAAGCGCAATTCTTGGACAGCCTTTGGTGCCACCGCAGATCAATTCAATCGGGCGAAGCCAGCTAAGCTCATCACGTACTACAAGCCCTCGCCCTAATAAGACACCCGTGTCAGCGTCACCAATGACCGGTGCCACTGGATCGGGAGCTTCTTTGCGCCTTACAACTACCAATCGCAGCTGCCCCACAGTTAGCCCATTGCAAACTCTTGAAGTGGAGCAAATTGCGGTCGCAGAGCTCGGGTTGACGGAAGACATGATTACCGAGAACGCTGGGAGAGACATAGCAGAAGCTGCCGTCGGTCTCTTGTCGAATGATGCTGCTGCCCCCACGATCCTTGTACTTACCGGCAACCATCGTACTGGAGCCCGAGCCGTTTCTGCTGCGCGCCATCTTCGTAATCGTGGTCATCGTGTCACCTTATGTGTTCTGGGTCTGGAACACGAGAATGAGCTACTTGAAAGCTGCCGCAAACAGCTTGATGTATTCAAGAAGATTGGCGGGCGTGTCTTCAGATGGGAAGACCTTTCCGCACAGCTCTCGAGCTCTGACTTTGCGCCTGATCTGGTTGTTGATGCACTCTTTGGTATCCACATCTCCTTCGAGGACCTGCGCACTGACGATCAAGCTATTGCTTTCGAGATGATCGCTTGGGTCAACCGTAGTAACCTTGATATTCTATCCGTCGATGTTCCATCTGGCCTATCTGCTTCCAGCGGTGAGTCCGAAAGCCTCTTCCTATGCATGCCTGCAAAATCTCTGACATTTTAGCAGGCGAAGTGACGATGGTCGAAGACGGCCGAGTATGCGTCAATTCCACATCCGTAGTCTGTCTCGGAGCCCCTAAGACGGGAGTCGTCAATGCCCTCCTGGCTGGAGAGGGACTTTCTTGGAAACTTTCCGTCGCAGACATCGGCATCCCGCAAATCGTTTGGCGTAAGTACGGCACCCGTCGTCGGCACGGGATCGACTTTGGGAATCGCTGGGTGGTTCCTCTCAGCTTCCAACCTCCTCCTGCTTAACAGGGCAATGGACTCGCTATTGACGATTTTTGAACGATAAAAAATACACTTCGGGCGTTATGGGTCATTCTTGACATTCTTATAAAGGGGTGTTTTGCGGGATACGTTCTGTGGTCATTGAGAGCAAGCTGAGCTTTTGCATGTGCTACACTCCAAGCAAGCATACGTTAATAAGCATGTACTATATGTGGTTCACATTATCACGATCGACACAATGCTGCATCGTATATCTACTATACCACGGTAAAAAGGTGATCTTGAACCGATATTTAGTTCAACCATAGTCTATAATGGTCAACTCAGAACCTTGAGCCCCTTCCATTGTATAGGCTCCTTTCCTCTTCTGTACTAGTCCTTGTCTGCTGTTGTGACTTGAACTTAGTTTAAAATGGAGGCGGCCTCAATTACTGCGCTAGCCGTAACTGGTTAGATTAATTCTACTAGCGCGTACCGATACATCATATCTGGAAATAATCCTACCAGCGGCGCCGAAGAACATGAAGTCAGCTACAGATTTGGCCAGATAAATCCCCGCTCCTCAAAAGTTGGAAATGGGCAAGGGTGAGTTACTCCATTAGACGACCGTTTACTGCTTGCGACTGACTCTTGACTCGTTAGGAACGGATAAGCTTTACGTATGATGTCCCACGCTTCCTCTGCTTTCGCGACACTGGTGTCGCAAGCTGCTAACATGGATCTTTAATAGATCACGCACTCCGAGTGGGCCTCGGAAGATGCATATTCGGCCAGCGCAGGCGCTGGTGTAGGGAAAGCGAGGCGGGGAGGAGAGCACGCCGGTTTCAGACGCCTCCCATTCAACTTCTGCTCCCTCTCACTCCAACCCTTCTCGCATCCGGTCTGCACACCCTCGGGAACCATATTCGATCTAACCAACATTCTGCCTTGGATTAAGAAACACGGTACAAACCCCGTGGACGGGTCGCCGCTGAAGAGTTCCGACCTTATCAAGCTTAATATCGCGAAGAACGAGTCGGGCGAGTATGTCGATCCGGTCACGTACAAGGTCTTGACGGACAACACGCATATCGTCGCTTTGCGCAATACGGGCAATGTTTTTGCATGGGATACTGTCGAGCGGTTGAATATCAAGGGGAAGCTGTGGCGCGATCTTGTTACGGATGAGGAGTTCAGTCGCAAGGATATAATCACGCTACAAGACCCGCAGAATATCGAGTCGAGGAATCTGAGTTCATTCAATTATTTGAAGGAGGGAGAGAGCGCGTTGACTGAGGAGCAAATACGAGAACGAGAGGATATATCCAATAATGTCAATGTCAATGCGCTGGGCAATGCGGCGAAGATCCTGAAGGCGAAGGAGGCCGTGGCGAAGGCCCGCGCCGAGAGGGCTCAGCGCGCCGAGTCGGCGGCCGGCTCGAAAGGATTGACAAAGCCGGGTACGAGTGCTGCGGTTGCGTCGCAAAAGACCGCTTCATACCAGGCTGGGAAACCTATTCCGTATAATGCGGCGAGGCATACTACTGGTCTGGCCGCTGCGTCGTTTACAAGCACTGGTATGACACCGCATACTTCGGCCGAGCTTGCACTTCTTTCAGATGAAGAGTACATGTTGAAACGAGGGCGAGTTAAGCAAAAAGGCTATGCTCGAATCTCGACTACGCTAGGCGACGTGAATCTGGAGCTGCACACTGAGTATGCGCCTAAAGCCGTGTGGAATTTCATCAAACTGGCCAAGAAGGGTTATTACAAAGATGTTGCTTTCCATCGCAATATTAAGGGATTCATGATCCAGGGTGGAGACCCTACAGGTACTGGGCGCGGAGGTGAGAGTATCTGGGGCAAATACTTCAACGATGAGTTCGAGGGACCTTTGAAACACGACTCTCGAGGAACGTTAAGCATGGCCAACAAAGGCAAAAACACCAACAGCAGTCAATTGTAAGTCCTGGTTTTTGTATCTGGTTGCCTTAAATTCGAATGCTGACAATGGCCACAGCTTCATCGCTTACCGCGCGCTGCCTCATCTGAACAACAAACATACCATTTTCGGTCATGTAATAGATGACCCAACGCCCTCATCGACAACACTGAACAGCATGGAAACTCACCCAGTGAATCCTACAACCAACCGACCTACTCCTGACATCCACATCAAAGACGTAACAATCTTTGTGGATCCATTCGAGGAGTTTTTGAAACAGAAGCAGGCAGACGAGGCGAAAGGTACCACCTCGACAGATGACACCAAGACATCTCAGGAGATAGACGATGATCGCGTAACCTGGACTGGGAAACGAGTTCGAGGACCTGGTGCGACAGAAGCGGGAGAAAGCTCGGCCGGGGGAGTAGGGAAGTACCTCAAGGCCGCACTAGCAAGCCAGGCCAATCAGGAGGAAGACGAGATTGTTGAGTTTGTGGATGAGGAGCCCGAGCCTGAGCCTGCACGGAAGAAATTCAAGGGTGGCGGTGGCTTTGGTGATTTTAGTTCCTGGGATTGATCAGGTTTCGTACTTCTAGAAGTATGTCAGCCTTGTATGATGATCGAACATATCTACTGCTCAAACAGAGAGCCAAACCTATGGTGGCTAATTTGCATGTCATAGGCAGCCAAGCTGCCTTGCAGACACCCCTTTAAACCAGTACCATAACATAAGATAGCCTGTAGGTTCCCTAAGAATATATTTTGCTGCATTCTTTGTGAACGACACACCGACAAAGGAATTGTTTGCAACTTTAAACAATCAAGAAGTAAAGTGTCTTAGCCACCCGCTATCGAGAGTTGAAATATGAAAGGCATATTGTTGTCAACAGTACGTCGTAAATGCAGAGCCGCGGGTCACTGACGTCTCCTAAGATTACCATTATCTGCTTGGAGTTTCAATTACAACTCCTAGCAATTCATCTAGCTCCATAATTAGGCCCTGAATCTCCCCTTTCAAGAGGGTGATGCCAATTCATAGCTCTTCAACTCTCTGGTGTTCTAGTATCTCCATCCATCCCCGATCCTCGGCCAGTTTATCTCCGTCTTCCCACCGTTTCGGGACTTCTTGTGCAGCGGCTTTGCCCTATTAGGCTTAGCGTAGCCGCAGTTTAGGTGTCCCAATGACCTAAACAGTCCCCAAGGCAGTAAGGCAGACTTCCCCTCTCCCCCAGGATTACTGTTAGTTGTTAGTAGTAATCACTACTGCTGCTACTAATAATAAGCGTTCATCAGTTCCACCCCCAACCATCTATCTGCATTGCGCTACCATCTATTCACGCCTTTCTGTATCTATTTGACGGCTATCGATATTAGAGGAGATCCAGACGATCTCTAGATACTATCCTATCATTCCGTGAGTGTTTACCTTCCTTTTGACTTGGTGAAGCGGCCTGATACCATACCGTTTCCATCGACGTGCAGTGGGGTTTGCCTTCAAGCGCCTATGACACCCGATTGAGGATAACCGCCCAGGGTCTTTTGAAGGGTTGATCCTGATGACCTTGTAATCTGTCTTTCGTCCCTTGGTAACTCATTCAGCCCCTTATCAGGAGGGCTTGAGAATCCCTCTAACCGCGGTTGTTGGATAGCAACATCCTCCGCTGGCATCGCTGGGTTGATTCTCTAATCCGCTAGCAGTCATTATTGCTCGCATTATAATCATTGAACCTTGCGTAGGATCAACTACTGACAATCTATATCATAGCCTTCTTTCCCTCGAATCCGCATCAGCGCTTCCTCCCCTCCTACGTCAGTCCTCGCTCTCTGTCGTTCTCCACTACCGCCGTAACTCCCGCCGTACAACTTTACTGAACTTCTCTCCTTCACAGAGGACTACCTATCAAGCTGGCAGGTAATAAGAGAAGAAGTTTTTCTAGCCAGGGTGGGTTGCTGAACAGAATGTTCAGTGGCTCCTCGAGCCCACCCAAAGATAAACCAGAAACAATTCCACACTCGGAGGCCATCAATACCCCGTCCCTGACGGTCAAGACCGACGAAGCTACCGTATCCCAGAAGAAATTTTCTCCTCCCGGTGGATTCTTTGGTCGCAGAGCGAGCGACGAACCGAGCCCTGGCGGCGAGAAGAAGAGGAGAAGCAGTACCGTCACCAAAGCAGCGACATTGTTCTCCAACGCCAAAAACTCGTTAAGTTGGAGCAACTCTCGTGAATCCGCTGCGACCCTTACCGTGGCTCACTCGCCACCTACTTCTCTACACAAACTTGGGAGAATGGATCCGGCATTGATTGTCCCCCAAGGGTCGTTGAACAATTCTGCCGGCGAATCATTACCTACCCCCGCTCATCGTTCAGAGTTGGTGTCACAGAGGACCGGAACCGAAGATGTCGTCGGACTATGGAAGATACTCATGCATACCTCTACAATTTCTTGGGGACGCCCGCACCCTCCGGCCAGGCTGATGTCAATGGCAAAAGGCAGTTCGGCGATGTCTCGCCTACAGCTGTAGAAGAAACCAGCGTTGTCGAAACCGACAATGGGTATTTCGCGATCTTCGACGGGCATGCCGGCACATTCGCTGCTGAGTGGTGTGGCAAGAAGCTGCATCTGATTCTGGAGGAGGTCATGCGGAAAAACCCCAACACTCCGGTTCCGGAGTTGCTTGACCAGACTTTCACTTCTGTCGACCAGCAGCTGGAGAAGCTGCCGTTAAAAAACAGCGGCTGTACCGCTGTCATTGCTCTTCTACGCTGGGAGGACAGAGTTCCTAGTTCTCATTCCGTGACCGGCTCTTCTGCATTGGCTCCGGCCGCTGCCGCTGCCGCCGGACCCAACTCGGAAGCCGACAACACCCCAACTCAATCAGCACCTGCATCTGTGCTCCCGATATTACATGAGAAAGCCGCCCGTCAACGAGTTCTCTATACTGCGAATGTTGGCGACGCTCGCATCATTTTATGTCGCAACGGTAAAGCGCTACGCTTATCGTACGACCACAAAGGCAGCGACGAAAATGAGGGGAAACGAATCGCCAACGCTGGAGGATTGATACTTAACAACCGAGTGAACGGAGTTCTTGCCGTCACGCGAGCTCTTGGTGATGCTTATCTCAAAGACCTTGTGACTGGCCACCCATACACTACAGAGACAGTCATCCAACCTGATCAGGATGAGTTTATCATTCTGGCTTGCGACGGGGTGAGCATTCTTCCTCTTGACTGGTTCTTATTGATGCTAACGTTTTGACAGTTATGGGACGTATGTAGTGACCAAGAAGCGGTAGATCTGATACGGAATATACAGGATGCTCAGGAAGCCTCAAAAATGCTTGTTGACCATGCCCTTGCTCGCTTCAGTACTGATAACCTCTCTTGCATGGTGATTCGGTTTGACAACAACCGTGTCAAGGAGGTTGTCAACCGCACGGTCGACCCGATCGGTGTCGACGGTGATCCAGCCACGCATGCGGGATACGGAGTGAGCGAGGCTGATAAGATTGTCGAGGGCGCCAGAAAGAGCATGGCCAATACAGAAATCACCGATGATGCCGAGCCAGCAGAGAAAGTCATGGATGAGGTTTTACAGAAGATGGCTGATGATGGGCCAGGGCCCGACGTCCCTATTGAGGCGACTTCGCCGAATAAGGTTGGGTCGATTAATGGAAGTACATGAGTGTGATGCGATTTCGAGCACTACAGAACGGAATGGCTGCGTCAGACGACGTGATAGAAAGTTCTCTATGCCCGGCATTTTTGGACCCAAACAACAAAGCTTCGTCTTGCTCTCTCGTTATACTGCTCCTTTTTTTGCTAGTCACTGGTGTTGATTGGTTTGAGTGTGCAATCGCTCCAGAAGCCAGCTGACCTGCGCCCCAGTGGCGTGTTGACCCCCATATCTCTCGTTCTCATATTCTATCTTATCACTTTGCTGCCTATCCGGGATCTTTCACTTCGCAACCGGGGATAGCGGAGCTTGACCTGGATTTCACATTACCATGCAAGCACAAATCCTGCACTTTGTATCGCCATATTGCTCAGATATAAATTCCATATGCCATTCTGATCTACTTAGATTACCAGGCCCGCAAGCAGTACATTTCCCTGTGGGCTTGCCAGCAGGTTACTGGGTTATCGGATGAATTCAAATTCTGTCTGCTAAACGCCATCGTCATTCCCAAGCACAAAGTAAAGTAGTATCTAAAAGTACAGTTTGTATAGGACCAAGTGCAAAGTCGCGCTGGAGAGATGCGAATATCCACAGCCCAATCCATCGCCGATTCCTACATACCATCGAGCACGTCGCTCTTCATCTAAGCCTGCTTCTCTTTGAATTGATCGCTCGCTAGCACATCCTTCTTGCCAGGGATGTGCTTCTCATCGGCCATGACATGGTCGCGGCTCAGATCCAACTCGCCATGCCAGACACGATCAGGCCACCTCTCCGCAAAGCGAGCGTCGTGGATGTCAGACCAGAGGATCTTGACACCGTTGTCTCCCAGGAGTTCCGCGTCCTCATTAGGATCCAGAATCGTGTAGTCGACCTCCTGCGTGCTCAGGGTCTGCGCGAAAACAGCCACACGCTCAGCCTGCTCGGCAGACTTCTCTTGCTCCTTCTTCCTCGCCTCCCTTCTCCGTCTCCGAGCAGCCGGGGTCAGATACCCCCTCTTGCCATCCGCAAACCCATTCGCGATCTCATCCTCCTGGATGGAGAGCACGGCCGCGATATCCGCAACGCTGGTAGCCTTTTGATCCATGACCGCACGGGCCCGGTCTTTCTTCTCCATCAGCCAGCCAATCTTATCGGCGTATTTTTCGTCGAATTTTTTCGCTTCTTCCGGGTTGCGGGGCCGCTTCTGGGCGAGGAATTGTTCGGTGATTGTGATCATTTCGCGGGGCGGAGCGAGCTGGCGCTGCATGGAGAATTCGCGGAGGAGGTGGTAGGCTCGCAGACCGATCTTGGAGTCGGTGAAGTGCACTGAGTAGTAGGGCACCCACATGTCTTTTCGAAGGGTTGCGGGAACGGTCTTTTTGCCGTGGTAGATGAGTTGGCGGAGGACATTGTTTTTCTATATTTGCAAGAAAGATATTAGAAGGACGAACAGTGGCAGGTTGATGATGACGGTACTCACCTCCAGATATCTTGTCAATGAGTATACCACCTGGTTAGTCCGGATGTTGTGGTAGGCGAAGATATTCTTGCCGTGGGTGATGGCATTGAGCGCCTTTCTTAGCCGCACTCCCTCCTTCCACTGGTGTGTCTTGAAGGCATTCGAGTTTTGTTCCCGAGGTTTTCCCTGAATAACACTGTGATTTTCGATCGGTGGACGACGGACGACATTCCAGGTTCCGATCTTAGTTGGGTCCAGGATCTTCTGGAAAGGTTTGGCGAACGACTGAGAGGAGGCCATTGCGGCCGGAAACACCGCTCGGCGTTCCTAAAATGGATCTGACGTGTTGATTAGAATCAATAGAGTGGATTCACTCTAGCGCATTGCGACTCGAGACTGTAGCGTGTGTAGTGGTTGATCTGGCTTCGTGATGGGAGTTGCACAGTTTCCGGACAGTGAAGGAAGTGTCGGGGTGGATCAATTTTTGTCAGAGGAACAGGACGGGCGAATGGTCGCCTGCAGCGGGACCTCCGCAGCGTCACTTATGCTCGGGGAACAACATGATCATCACCATCTTCATTCTTCGAGTTGAGAACCAGCCCAAAATAGCTGCAAGTGCTATTTCCCCAACTTACGTGGGCGAGACCATTATCCAGACACTAATTAGAATGATCGGACGAATACAACTCTCGCACCGCTATAGCTGAGTCCTCGACCGCCCGCAATGTCGCGGACAGCGAACACTTCGAATGGGCTGGACAAGGACGAGGCTGGCACTCGCCGCGGAAGGCCATGGTTGTTTCCTTCGGTATCTGAAACATTTCGTTATGAAGAGTTTCTGTACCGCTGCTGACGCATTGACTTTAGAACCGCAAGCTCCGACATTTACAAGGCATTTCGATCCGCAACCTCGTCACCTCTCCCCCCTGAGCAGGCCTCGTGGGAAGACTATTGACGATGAGGAGATCCCAAATTCTCTACAATCCCCCTCCAAGCTCCTAGCTCAAAGCGCAAACCGGCCCTTGCCACAGTCACGATCTTTTGCCGACCTCAAGAGCGCGCCCGCCGCATCGGACAAACGTGACGATGCCGAGCAGCAACCTGCATCGCGACTACGGAGGAGAAGCATGCTCCCGTGGAATGACCCCAATCCACAGATGAGACAGATCAAGCTGGAGGATATTACGAAAACCAGGATGGCAGATACGTGGTTCTCAATTCATTGCGACGGCATCGATACGCCTGTCTATGTGAGCGAAGTTGTGGAGAATGCTACCAACCCCAGCTTCAAGGCCTTTGATTTGAACGTTTGCGGACCGAAAGTCTCCCGCGCGGATTGCCTTACACTCAAGCTCTGGGCGAAAGCAATATCCATGGAGGAGTATGTGTTGCTGGTTGAACTGCAATTGTGCCTGCAGTCGCTACAGTTTCTCGGCAAATCGTTGGATAGCTTCCACCAACCCTTGCCCTCGAACTCCGTTCTTTTCCATCTGACAGACGGTGTGTATACTAACCTAACTGGTATTCCATCCTCCAACACCTTGATACCTTCGGGTGCGTCAAAATTTTCAGACGGGGTCGTTTTGCCAACGTCTTCCTACGACGCCCTGATGCGCTTGGCGAATTTGGACGAATGCATTCAAGACGCACTCGCCACGAGAGAGAAACTGGAGTCGCAAATTAGTGCGATTCTAGAAAAGAACCATCATGCCATGACTCTCACAAGCGACGTCTCCCGCGCCCAAGACAAGCTTGCTCTGACCAAGCATGCCGTTGCGGCGGGGAAAAAACAGCTCCGCGCAACGTGCAAGCGCAAAGAGGAACTTATTGCCAGTATCAAAGCTCGAAGAGAAGCCATGGAGCGTGGACGGTACAGTCAGGAAAAGGCTCGCAGTCATCTTCCAGACGCTCAGCAGAAATTGGCCTCCTGCTCTAAGGTACTGAAACAGAATACTGAAGAGACCAAAGGTCAAATTCGGCGCATTGCCGAAGACTTACTTGCGATTTACCCCATCGAGCCAATTCCCGACAAGCCGCTGGCGTTCACTATCGCTGGGCTTACCCTTCCCAACTCGAATTTCGGCGACATTGATCGGGACGCCGTCGCGGCTGCGCTTGGGTATACCGCGCACCTGGTTTACTTGCTTTCGTTCTACCTATCAGTTCCGATCCCATACCCGATTAATCCATATCTATCGAACTCCTTGATTCAAGACCCAGTGTCCGCCTCATTACCTCAACGGACCTACCCTTTGTACCCGGTCAATGTCCAGTACCGGTTTGAATACGGAGTCTTCCTGCTGAACAAAGACATTGAGTTCCTGTTGAATAAGCTGAGCCTGCGAGCACTCGATATTCGACATACTCTCCCCAACCTGAAATATCTTTTGTACGTTCTCACCGCTGGTACCTCGGAGATCCCAGCACGCAAGTCTGGTGGGATTCGTGGTCTTTTCCAAGGACGGCTGACTCCCAGCCTGTCGCGACGGGGAAGCGAAGACAGTGTTGGCTATACTGAGTCGATATTTCCTCGCAAAGACGTGAGGCCGAGCTCGAAATTAAATGGAGATCTCGCGTCAGACAAGGCCAAACAAACAAGCCCACCCTTGACTAGCTCCGCAACCTCCTATCAAGTGGCTTAGAAGGTCATTCCGTCTGTTACCTAATAATGCCTCATTAGGTAGTCTTGATGAGTACGATGTTTGTCTTGTCTTGTCGACGGTTGACCATTTATCTATCCATGTACCCGTCTCTTATCTGTCTCTTTTCCCATTCGTGCGATGGTCCCCGTTTCCCACTTGATTCGTTACTTGGTAGACGCCATGATGCAACCTTCTACCTTCTTCCACAGTTTCTAGAAACCCATTAACAGGTCATATCCTTGGCGTATTACTGTTGGATTGTCGTGCCTGGCCATTTCTGGGCTAGCAAGGAGATTCTGTTCCAATGAGCGGACGCCATCTTCGCTGTTATCTGTACTTTAATTAGGAAGAACAGGGAATCTGCGCGATTCGCCCTGATTAGCCCAGAGTCTGATACCTTAGCATTATTATTGATAACAGATATCCCTCTAAGCCTCTCACGACTGGTGAACCACAGGATACGAGGAACTTGGAACGAACGAGAGGGCACGGAAGGTTCCATTACAACGATTCTCTGCCTAGAATCCAAGGAAATAATTTATCTCTCTCCATTTTGTTCTCTGTACCGTTTTTTTGTCCCCTGTTTTACCCCGCATTTTTTCGGACCCAGCGAAATCTGGCTTAGCGAGGTTAATAGCATTCTCCATCATCTCATAACCCGCCCCTTTTGTCTTCCATTTCATCATCACAGAAATTTCCATCGATCTTTTCGTCGATCGTAGGACAATTGCATTGCCTACACGTGTTTTACCTCGAGGAAAAAGGACCTGCAGGCGGAACGTGGATCCCTCGAGTCCTTAAAAAGTCGCCGGAGAAGTGTGATAACTGATAAACGGCCGCAAACCCCACCGCTTTCTGGCGGCCCCTTCGCTTTGCATCGGCATACCCCAAATCCACCATAATCCACTTCCCTCTGTTGTGCCGGCAGAAGGCGGCTATACACGATCATGATGGCTGCCAGCAATACGCAGCAAGAGAACGGAATCTATGCGCAGAACGGCCAAGGGCAAAAGTCGCCGTCGCCTCAAGCTCATCATCGTCGCGGTTATCAGGCCTGCGACCCTTGCCGCAAGCGCAAGGTCAAATGTGACCTTGGCAGTGAGTTCTATCCTATATCTCGGTCATACAATTTGCACGGCAATTAGGAAGCGCGCAGTGGAAAGAAAAGAAAAGAAAGAAAGCATCTAATCCCATCGTCGCAGGTGTCGATAACCCGCGTCCCCCTCCGTGTGTACGATGCCGTCGCGAAAGCAAACGATGCGAGTTCTCCGCGACCAGGCGCAAGCGGAAACCCTCCGAGATCGAAGACAGCGTCGATGGGGTCCTCCTCCGTGACAAGCGGATGATGGTCGCAGACGCGGCTCCCAACGGTTCTTCGCCGGATGGGTCTTACAACGCACGACCGGAGCCGACATCGATTGATGGTGACAGCCTGCATTCGCGACAGAAGTGGTCAGAAGGACCTCCTGCAGCACCTAATCAAATACCACACGCCGATGCCGGTCAACGATACGGCACTAATCAACCTGCATCCTCTACTTCGCAATTCCAGGATGCGAGACCCGTGCGCCCTCCCATGTGGTCGCTCGGGGAGCGCCCTGGAATGAGTTTCGGTCTTGAGGGAAGCCAGCCCATGATGAATCGCACCGCCGTTGAGCTGTTGTCGCCTGCGATCAGTAACAGTCACGATGCTCTGCACTTACTGTCCGAAGCGGCAGGGCGGACGGAGGATCTCAATCGGCAGAGCCTCGAGAATCGATACGCCGCGCGGCGGTCGGTTTCCTCCTTCAATTCTCCCGTGTCTCCTATGACACAGGCCGGGACTCCTAGAAGCGGAGGCAGTTCCTTTCCGCGAGCGCCTCGGTCCGGTACCGTGCCCGTGGGTAACTTCTATAATACGGGAGGATCGGGTTCCGTGGATCACACAAATTCGGATGCTCGCGATCACAATGAACCTATAGATAACTTGCAGGATCCAGGGTTCGTCGATGCGGTCAGAGCCTGGTCACGTCTGCGGTTTGTTCGAGCAGGTTGGCTCACAGTTGAGGAATCCATGGCATACGTGGCATAGTAAGTGCTCAACTTTCTTGACTTGTCCTTTGGATGTTTTTATTCTGACAGATTACAGCTACTATGAACATCTTGCTCCGTTGAGCCCTATCGTCATTCCTGATTTTTCACACCCTTCGACACATCGCACCCTTCTCACTGATGAGCCTGTACTGGCTGTCACTATTCTTACGACCGCATCACGGCACATGAAACCCAAGGGTGATGGGGCATATACCCGGTCATTCTACATTCATGATCGACTCTGGTCTTATCTTCGGGGAATGATTGAGCGTCTTTTCTGGGGCCAAGAGAAGTTCGGCGGAAACGGCATTGGAATCAGCAAGCCTCGGTCATTTGACCTGGCCCCGAGCGCAGCCAAAGTGAGTCTCAAAGGGAACTTGAGATCCCTGGGCAGTATCGAGGCGCTCCTGATCCTCACGGACTGGCACCCCAGAAATCTGCACTTCCCCCCTGGTGATGATGAAAATACACTCTTGGACTTGGACGCGCACGCTCAAACTCGCCTTGAGAAGGATATCGAGCATGATGGTGAGCCAACAAACCATCGGGCTTCTCAAATGTCAGGCGAGGGGAGACTCGCCTTCCAGAAGTGGTTGGAGCCCGCTTGGCGGTCTGATCGGATGTCCTGGATGCTGTTGAGCACCGCACAAGCGCTGGCTTTTGAGCTGGGAGTCTTTGATCAGAAGAGCGAAGCGAAGACTGCGAACGACTCTCCTGCCGAACAGACACGGAAACGTCGACTTCGGCGTCTGATTCTCGTTTACATCACGCAAAGCAGCGGCCGTCTGGGAATTCCTTCTATGCTTCCACTGCCACAGTGGACTAATGACATCCAACCAACTCCTGCGTCAACTTCAAAAGGCGGCGATACAACTATTGATCGGATGCATGACTGCTGGATTGGGATCACCAAGATCATGTATCAGAGCAATCAGTTGTTGTTCGCATCTAACGAACAGACATCGGAACTGATTAGGAGTGGGCGGTATCGCGACCAGATTGATCGGTTTCAGCCTTTTCTACGAGAATGGCGAAATAACATCGACACGGTTGACCGTAAGTACTGTGTACTATTTTGCTCTTGATCTAATGCTGACTGTTTAGTCGCACCTGCCATGCGGCACATCTTGATGATTGAATACGAATATACCCGTAGGTGGCCCCCTATTTTGAATTATAGAATTGCAATATCCTAACCTTCTGCAGGCGTTTATGTCAACTCATTAGCTCTGCAGGCAGTCGTGGACCGCTGGACCACAATGTCCAACGAGGCTGCCCAGGCTCAGAGCGGAAGACCGGGCACTGGTCCCTCGTCGAACAATTGGTTTCATATGCTCATGGAGCTGTATCGTGTCAACGAGCAATACATCCAGGAAGTTGTTGACGCGTCACGTCGGATTTTGCAAACTGTACTGGATGACCTGGTTCCTGGCGATCACCTGAAGCACGCTCCTGTGCGGACATGCTTCCGGATTCTGTCTGGCATGATCTTCATCCTCAAGGTAGGTCTCCGTCATTTTCTGTGTGTATGGCAAACCTGACTGACGGTCGCAGACATTCACCCTTGGAGCGAAAGAGGATGATGTACGTGTATCGCTAGACCTTCAGGATCGAACGGTGGAAGCGTTGAGGACATGTGTCGTGGACGATGTCCACCTGAGTCACGCCATTGCTCGGCTGGTGGAAATGCTTACGACCAGCATTCGCACAAGATTCCTGCGATTTGCACCGTTGGACCGAGGTGGTGATGGTGACGGTCAAGATCGCACCTCTGCACCAGTCTCCAGGCACCAGTCACCGCGTCCTCGCGATGGCGCCCAAGGCCGTCGGGATGGATCGAACCATGCATGGACACCGAGCCACAACGCAGCACAGAATATTGGCTACGTTGATGGCAATAATCCGACGAGTACCACAATGGGATCAGTGCATGATCCGCTGGCAGCCATCCCAGCGCAACCGATCAATTCTTCGAATATTAATGTCTCATTCATGCCTCCACCGCCGTCGGTGTACCATAATTACTATGAACCGCACACATCGCCTCCCACCGGAGGGATGGAAGGATCGAACGTTCCTTCGCAATCAATGAATGATAATTCCGGCACCTCCGGCGGACTTCCGGACTGGTTCGCGCTTCCGCTCGATCATTTCTTCAACAGTTCGACAGCCGTTGTCGATCACGGTCTCGGAGGGACAGGGCCAATGGTAGGCGAGTTTGACATGCTTGAGGTCCTGCTCAACGAGCAATACGACGGCACGGGCGACGGCCTCGATTCAGCAGGGCGCGACGGGCTTCCGTCCCAGTTCCTGCAGTCTTAGCTGATCCCATTCCCGTCAATAATGACGAATGCTTATCACGCTTAATCTGACGGTGGTGCTATTGCCAAAAGTCCAATGGAGCTACACCCGAGATTGCTTTCTCGTATTGTACCTCGGCCAAGGAGTTCTACACTTTACCCTGCCAGGCGCCAAGCACTGCGATTATGCTTAGCATTCCGTGGCTTGTTCCTATATATGCTTGTCTTAGGATTGTTTCTTGGTGACTGGAAGGTGACCTTCACGGGGTTGCATTGTTGCATTCCATTTCTGAAGTTGTCCCTCGGTATGATATGACCCGCGACAAAGACCTGTATAGTGTATGTGGAGGGTTATCTGACAGCTTGGCGGTTTCAAGACATTTTCATGTGTCATTGTATGTTTCTAAGCGGGAGTTTCAAATGTCAACACCCCAGACCCTTGGACACGAGCTTAAATAATGACCTTCTAGAACCGTAGAACGAGGCACACGCGGTCCCCTGGTATGCACTCTGAATGTTTCGGTGTCGCACAGTCAGGTATGCAGTGTGATGATGACGCCTCGGTTTTCTGTCTACAATTAGCCTAACGGAGTATTATGTATTATCTACTCGTTGTAACTATTATTATTATAATACTTGCCGCAGAAGACCTCTATTATTGTCTGAAGGCAGTGATCTCACCTCCCATATGCTTGCCGCAGGAGGCTTTTCCCTTGTGCAGCAGAAGCAGACTCCATACTCCATCCGAAGCACCCGAAGAGCTCAAAACTGCCGATCACGAAGGAAATGGACTCCGCCATCCTGGCCAGAACTGCGGAAATTTGTAGGGATAGTTGGCATGAATAGACCACTGCGATTATTTCCTTGTCTTATTGTTAAGTGCTTCAGACCACTGGTGTAAATTCTGCAGCTTGTAGGCATGCTAATTATGATATTACTACGGTCTACAAGAACTGAGGTATATCCAAATCCAGATGAAAATAGCCTTGCGACTTGGCTCTGCAGGGCAGTCAATAATGATCTGCCCCGATGAACGATTCATTTTAGTTATCATCTGCTCCAGAGTCCCTTTCTCTTCGCGTATCTTTGAAGATCAACAACCAGCTGCACCTGATGAATCTCCCAACATTCATGCACCGGTATTCGTTCGGACTCCGACCCTTTCAATTTGGGATTTGGTAGGTGAGAACCGGATCGAAGCTTCTGAATGGCTGAAGTCTTCGGGTTGTGGACGGGGCACCTCGGAGGGTCTAACTGAAAACTGAATAAGAAAAATAATGAGAGCTAGGGTGTGAGTGGATGGTGAAAGTCTCAAAGTGACATCGCACCCTGGCTAGTCTCCGCAGGTGGATTGGGGCGTCGCTTGGCGTTAGGGGTTGAGAGAACAGAGTTGTTGAAGGATTCAAAGTCTGGAGTAGTGTTGTAAAGTTGACATGTGAGTTACCACAATGTTATCCTATGAGGGGTCGATATATTCATAGAAGGATGATATACAATGGTCAAAGGATCAAAGAGATCAGGGATGATCATGGGATCTTCGGGGGCCAAGGCAGTAAGGCAGTAAGGCAGGGGCTCATCGCTTTGCCTTAGTCTCGATCGTTCATCTTCCACCAGCACGTTCTACGGAGTAGGCTTCTCATTTCCTGTGAATCTCGAAATGTATCACCATCCATGTGATATCCTGAATCCGTCCAATGAACATTCCAATCATCCTGCTGAGGCCCTGGTCTCTCATCTTCCTCTGACTGCTTCTCATGCTTCCATCTCCTCAGGGGCTGCATCGGACTCCGGTCAATCCCAGATGACCCTGGTTAAATTTCTCCGCTTAGCAGTTTATGCAGTTAATCTACAATGTACTCCGTATACTCGGCTCCTAAGATTGGTTCAGTACCGTGAGTCCTGTGCTCCCCACTCTCCACTGATGACACTAACACCATCAATGACGATCTTCAGCTCATAACGAATCAGATTGTTTCTCTGACTTTTCCAGATAGCTTAATGCCTGAGCAGCCGGCGTTGTCCGTCCAATCCAGCGTGCAGCAGGACAAGAAAAGCCACAAGGACAAGAGAAATCTTGTCCTCTCTTGTGCCCTCTTGTCCTAAACAAGCAACATGCAACTTTGCCGTAGCATTCAGCTTGGCCGCGCTAACCTCCTGGATGGGTACTGGAGCTGATTTGCTTCGTTCGCCCCGCTACGCTATCTAGAACCGACAATCGCGGCCAGGGTGTCGTTCCATCTTTCTCTTGGCCTAGCCGGGTGGGTGTGACAATTCGTCTTCGAGCCCTTGGACAACGGGATTCATGTCCCTGGATCTTGTAGATCTTCATCGCGGACTTCCTGGATAAGAGATATGGCGTGAAGGCTTAGGTGAAACTTGCTCCTCCTGACCCCGGAGTGACTCCGTAGTAGCTACTATCTATCCTAGGCCCAGGGAAGAGAAAAAATCTATATAAAGGGGGAATGTTCACCAGCTGTTGACGGAATCTCATCCTCATTCGCATTCAGCAAGAGTTTGAGATCGTCTCCTTTCTTTTCTTTCGTTGATACTTCCCGCGGTCCAGTAGTCCGTTGCTTCATCAAGATGGTCGTCTTTAGCAAAGTCACAGCTGTCGTCGTCGGTCTCTCGACCATTGTGTCTGCTGTCCCGGTGGTTCAGCCGCGCAAGGGCTTCACTATCAACCAAGTGGTCAGGCCAGTGACCAACAAGAAGACCGTCAATCTTCCAGCCGTTTATGCCAACGCTTTGACCAAGTACGGCGGCACTGTCCCTGACAGTGTCAAGGCGGCTGCAAGCTCCGGCAGCGCTGTTACTACCCCCGAGCAATATGACTCGGAATACCTGACTCCCGTCAAAGTCGGTGGAACAACCCTGAACTTGGACTTTGACACTGGCTCTGCAGATCTGTAAGCGCATCTTGTCCCTCTTTCTTTAATTGAATTGACTGACCGTTGTAGCTGGGTCTTCTCTTCCGAGCTTTCGGCTTCCGAGTCTAGCGGCCATGATATCTACAAGCCATCCGCCAGTGCCCAAAAGCTGAATGGCTACACCTGGAAGATCCAATATGGTGATGGTAGCGGTGCCAGCGGTGACGTCTACAAGGATACCGTCACTGTGGGTGGTGTCACTGCCCAGAGCCAGGCTGTGGAGGCTGCCAGCCAAATCAGCTCTCAATTCGTGCAGGATAAGGACAACGATGGTCTGCTGGGTCTGGCATTCAGCTCCATCAACACCGGTGAGTTCCTGTCAAGGTTTCCAGCTTCGACCTCAGCCCACTGACTCGAATTGATTGCAGTCAATCCCCGCCCCCAGACTACTTTCTTTGACACTGTCAAGTCCCAGTTGGACTCTCCTCTCTTTGCTGTGACCCTGAAGTACCACGCTCCGGGAACCTACGACTTTGGATACATCGACAACTCCAAGTTCAAGGGACAACTCACTTATACCGACGTCGATAGCTCCCAGGGTTTCTGGATGTTCACTGCTGATGGCTACGGTGTTGGCGACGGTGCTCCCAACAACAACAAGATCAGCGGCATTGCTGGTATGCTTTTCACTGCTTCTTTCAAAAAAGTACCAAGCTGATCCATTATAGACACCGGCACCACCCTCCTCCTGCTTGACGACAGCGTTGTTGCCGACTACTACCAGCAGGTCTCCGGAGCCAAGAACAACAACGAATACGGTGGTTACGTCTTCCCCTGCTCCACCAAACTTCCTTCCTTTACTACCGTCATCGGTAGCTACAAAGCTGTCGTTCCCGGTGAATACATCAACTTCGCCCCCGTCACTGACGGCAGCTCTACCTGCTTCGGTGGTATCCAGAGCAACTCCGGCTTGGGATTCTCCATCTTCGGGGATATCTTCCTCAAGAGCCAATACGTCGTCTTCGACTCCCAAGGCCCCAGACTCGGCTTTGCCCCTCAGGCCTAGATGAGTATGCTCACATTTCCTCAGCGAGGCCCAGCCTCGCCACAGCTGTAGGTCTGTGACAGTCGAGAGTTATCTCCAGTTTCGTTCTTGTATATGATTTTGGTTTAGAACAGCAATATGATTATGACCTCAGACTCTTTCTACTTTGCATTAGCGAGATAGTAACTTATGAGTGTTTTTCAAAATACATATATATGTTTAAATATATGTTAGCATATATTGTGATGTGCAGGGTGCACGTGCGAGAACTGTCCTCTATCAACTGGAGGACGTCCGGTTCCCTCTGAACAGATCCCTATTCCTCTGAGTTCGTTCACTTGAAGAACCAAGATCTGAACGACTCTGGATGGTAGGAAGGGGTTGAGATAGGAGACCAACGTCCGCTTGCATTTGGATTGAGATTCGCGCGACAAAATCTGCTTCCTCCTCATCCAACAACCATTGCGTGCAAGCCCCAGCTGCAAACCCTCCCCTCCATCATGCTGTGTTATCAGAGTCATTCCAGACGAGCTCACCGCTTATGCTGGGGATGGTTTCAAGCCAGCAGACAATACGCCTCACATATTTGTCCTGTATCGAAAGAGGGTCAATGCAAGGGAGAAGAGTGAAGTAACACATATCGCCTTAGACAGTCAGCCACAGTTCGCATGGACATCTATATAAAGGTTGACGGCGGTTCAATAGTCAAGATGGCTTCTTCATCTGGCACATTGTGCAACCTGATCAGAAAAAATGGTGGAAAAAGTGCTGCAATACGACGACCTGTCGACCACGGATTACTCGACACCCGTCGTCGACTCACTCTCCGAGGACGAGCGCGAGATCGAGCCCAAGTTACGTCGCAAGCTGGATATACGGATCATGCCTGTTATTTTTTTGATATATCTTCTCAACTTCATTGACCGGTATACCGCATCCGCCGATCTATGGAGGATTCAAAAGCTGATGTACCTAGGTCAAACTATACCGCTGCCCGTCTTCAAGGTTTAGAGCGCGATCTCCGTCTCTCCGGCTCAGAATACCAGGTCGGGCTCTCGGTATTCTTCGTGGGATATGTCCTTGGGCCAATTCCAGCCAACCTTCTTCTGAATTATCTCGGCCGTCCGTCAGCTTATATCGGTCTCTTCGGTGTCGCCTGGGGGCTGGTGACGCTCTTGACCTCGCAGGTGGAAGGCTATGGATCCCTTGCTGCTTGCAGATTTATCCTGGGTGTAGTTGGTAAGCCTAGGCTTTGTTTTCTGGGCGATTAGGGGCCTGGACTGATTCCATACATGACATAGAGGCGCCCTTGTTCCCGGGTATCATGTTCTATCTCTCGGTAGGTGAAGCTCCTCAAGAAGATGACGGGTCTGTCTCTGATCTACGCAGAAATGGTACACGCAGCGAGAACTGGGTGTGCGGATGACCATATTCTTTTCGGCCGCGCATGTTGCCAATGCTTTTGGGAGCCTAATTGCCGCCGGCATACTAAACGGCCTGGATGGTAATCGGGGGCTATCTGCCTGGCGATGG